TTTGCAAATCAATTTTGCTACCCAACATGAACTCCATATCCATTTTTTTGATGCAATAAGTGAACTAGAAATCCATTTTTCTACCCACCGTAAACAACAAATTCAACCCACCATAAGGATGTGAGACATTCATGTTCTTTTGCAAATCCATTCAGCAACCATAAACTACAATTGCAACCCATCAAAAAGAATTGCAACGTAAACATTAATTGAAAGACCATGGAACAGTAATGCATTACAAACAACGTCGCAGTAATGCATTACAAACGAGAAAGCCCAAACACATAAAACGATTTGAACTAACAAAATCAGAACATAGAGATAAAGAGAATGTTCCGAATTGTATCATTCAATACAGATACTCCTTTTCCAAATCCAAATTGTATCATTCAAAAGAGATGCAACAAAATCATATACAACCTTTTTTGAAGAGAATAAACGTTAGTAAAACCAATAAATTGAAAGAGTGACTGTGAAAGTAGTTTTGCATAGATGACTGCCAAGAATCAAAGCACTATGCTCAAGACCAAATAAGTGGTACATTGAAGCTATCCCCGATTACTTGACATTGTGAAAGTGTTGCGCGAATTTATTATGTTAAAAGAACAAAAGATGCGAGAATGTGTAAGCACTAATCCAAATTGTATCATTCAATAGAGATGCAACAAAATCATATACATCATTTTTTGAAGAGAATAAACATTGGTAAAACCAATAAATTGAAAGAGTGACTGTGAAAATAGTTTTGCATAGAGGACTGCCAAGAATCTAAGCACTATGCTCAAGACCAAATAAGTGGTACATTGAAGCTATTTCCGATTACTTGACATTGTGAAAGTGTTGCGCGAATTTATTATGTTAAAAGAACAAATCTACAACAAACATGTAAGCACTCCCTTAGTAAGCCACTTTAAACTCTCAAAAACTGAAACTAACAAGATAAAAATATGACCAAAACTACTTATACGTTAATAATTGAATCATTAATATAGGTTATGGTGTGCACACCTGATATAACACTTGTAATAAGGGTTAAGCAAGTAAAAAATGGGAGTTCTATGAGACAAATGCCAAATCAAGAAAAAACCTTAAGAAAAAGGTGAAAAAGATGATGTTAACCAGGAATAATATAACATTGTAGAGACTTCTTGACAATGATCTGAGTGGTGATCCGAATATATGTAAAAGTATACCATCAGTGATACTTCCATTAGTTGGGTATTGCAGTTGCACTCCCTTATAACATGTAAGCACTCCCTTATTACTTTTGCAAAACTCACAGATCCAAAGCAATAGAAGCAGACATATGGGGAAGAACCGAAAAAAATTCACCGATCCAAAAAACTCACGAATCCAGAGCATATCTCGAAAAAACTTACAAATCCAGAGCGTATCTCGAAAAAAACCAACAACAAACAATCGTAGATCTTACCGGAGAGTATATGTCGAAGGGAAAAAGAATGAAATCGAGCCCTAACGCCAACAGAGAGTGATGCTTTCGATCGGAGAGGGAGAAAGCGAGGGGAGAGTGCGAGAGAGATCACTAAGGGCAAAAGAAGGAATTCGAGCCCTAACGCCAACAGCCAACGTCGAACGCAGCTGAGGCCCCGCGATCCGGCTAATGAAGAAAAATGGATCCGCGGGACGCTTCGTTCAGAACACAGCCGAACGAACGCGCGAAACAAACACGTGGGCGGCGTTCTGAAAACGTCATCGCACATGTATAAGCTGCGCCAAACAGGGCCTAAGAAAAACCGCTTGGGGTATGCTTGCTGCATCATGAGCATGGTCTAAAGTTTCCTTCATTTTGCTAAGAAAGCGTGCACAGATTCCTTTGATCGCATCAAGTGGCATTGAAATAATGTTTTTAGGATTTTTTTTAAGGGTTGCGTTTTAGTAACTTTGTGCGAGGCAATCATTAATTAAGTGGTGAAGAAGTTGCAGCAGGTTCACAAATTTTCTTCTTTTTTTTTTCCTTTTTTTCCTTTCATTTTTCCTTTTTCTATAATTTGAAACACTATTTTTTCTCATTTTTTAGAGAGAGAGATAGTGAGTGAGAGAGAGAGAGAGAGGGCATAGGGATAGGGAGGTTTAGAGAGAGAAGTTACACAATGAGATAAAGGTAGATGATTGGTTGCAGGCGGCGTGCGGTTAAGCTGAGAACTTTACTAGCTGAGGATGTATAATTTAGGTGAAGTTTGCCTTTGGAGGTTGGCAAGTAGGAAGAGTTGAGTTGTGGCTCATTGGAGGTTGATAGGATGGTAGGAGGGGGAGAGTGTGTCAAATAAGCCTTGGCAATGGAGAAAATGAAGGTGAGCTTGGTTAAGGGGTTGAGATAGCGTACGAGTGAGAAGAAGAGTGACAGTCTTGTGGGAGAGTGGTAGAGGGTGTGACTTTGAGAGTGTTGTAAGAGAGAAGAGCTTAGCATGTGGCTCTTGATGAAGGCAAAAGGGGGAGAACGGGTTCTTCTGTGGAAGATTAATTTAGTGAGGATGAGAACTTTGAGTTGTGCAGTTTTTGTACGTTGTGGTGACATCTGCATCTCCTGAAACGGGGTAGGAAGCATGAGTGTGGGGTGTCACCCGCTACTGTGCGGGACGCTGAACTCCAACGAACATGCGGGCTTCAGTTTTCACGCCTAGACCAAACCGGTCCCATTTTTTCGTTGTTGTGGAGTCAACCAGTCCTATTGGGTCACTTCTCGCTATCATATTATTATATATTTGTATTCATGATGTTTTTGGTTTAGTTTTTGTGTGTTTTGTATTGAGACAACCACCGTCTCTTCGTCCCTTGTAGGGTTGTATCCTAGGATTGCAGGTGGTGTGCTCCAGCTGTATCTTAGTCTCTAGACGGTGATTATCTTCCCCATCCTCTTCCACATTGTCCCCACGTCGCCTCCGTTGCTACAACCACCCAGAGCAGCCTTCAGGGCTGTTTTCTTTGCAGTTTTTACATTGTTCTAGCTTTCATGTTAGCAGTCACTGCTGTTCCAGCCCTCCACCTTCGCTGCCACTGCTGTCCAGCCCTCCATCTTGCTGCCATCGTTGTTCCAGTCTCTTATACTTGTTGCCATATTTGTCTCAGCCTTCCCCGTCTCCTAGCACCATCCAAGACAACGAAGAGTTGCTGTCCGTACCTATGCCAGCATTCCTAGCTGTCCCTATCGTCAGATATATTTATTATGTTAAATTGAAGTTGAATTTAAGTATAATTTGAGATAATTTATAATTAATGTCAGGAAATTGGAGGTGGAAGAAATTTTATATTAGAAAATGAGGGGAGTAATTAAATAAAAAAGGTTTGGTGTTTTTTTCTATGTAATTTTTTTTAGTTATTCAATTAATATTTAAGTTTTTGAAATAAATTCAGTGATTAAAATAGGCAAGCAATCAAACTAAATACGGGGAGGAGATCAAGATCGTTGTTTGTGCAATAGAGGAATAGATAAACTGGGGTAAGTTTAAGGTTAATCTTTTAATTTGTGATTTTGCATATTTAATTAAAATGTTTTAATTATTATTTTCTGAATTAATATCAAATATTAGTGGAACATTATTTGGATTAGAAAACTAGAAGAGTTGGGGACATTAATCAGGTTGGGTTTTCTTATTGAAATTAGGAGTAGATGCTTTAATTTGAGATTTTTTTATTGTTTTAATTTGTGGTTAATTAATGTGAATGGTAAGTTTTATTGAATAATATCACATATTGATAGTTTGAAATTATTCAATTGGAATGTTTAAAAGTGTGATTGAAGGAAGAAAAAAGAAAATTGAGGTATGCATTAATTTATTTGAATTATAAATTCAAGTGAATTTATAGGACATTAAAAGTTATGTTTGAGAGCAGCTTTTTTTAATGTAAATTTTAGTTAAACTGACTATGGTTAAAAATTTAGGCTGTGAAAGAAAAAGTCGACAAATTTAAAATGATGATTTTATAAGATGAAATCTAGATGAGTAATTGTTATTTTATTTTCATTAAATTGAGTTTCTTTCATTTTTAAAATGTTTCAATTGTTCATGCATATAAATACACTCTTATAATTGAAAGATAATAAGTGAAAATAATATGATTGTTTTAATTTTTTTTATCTTTTTAATTGCATTAAATAAAAAATGGATGGATTTAATGTTTGAAAGAAATAAATATAAGTTAAATGAAAGATAAATGAGTAAGTCTATTATGAGTCACTCCCTTATGATACCAGCAGGGGACGATATTGTACTGTGCACGTTAAATGAAAAGGAGATGGAAATGATTATGCTGATACAAAATGATTAATGTTGTATATTTATGATACAAAATGATAAATATTGTATCTTTATGATACAAAATGGTATAAAAAATGGTTATATTTTTAAGATATAAAATGGTAAATGTTGTATCTTTATTGGTATAATTTGACAGTACTCTTAAGATGACTTCTAAAAATAAAATGAAATGGAGAAAAAAGAAATTGATTAAAAGGAATGAATTTGTAATTGATTGAGATGGTTAAATAAATATTTTGTAAAATAAAAAAAATGCAATGTTTACTTAAAATTGGATTAGCGTATTTCATTAAGCATTCATATGAGGCATTTGCATAAAGATTTAATACACAATAAAGTGATAATATTCACTAAATTTTTTAAACTTAACCTATTGATTATTTTTTCTTTCAGGGAAAGGTTTGCTAGATTGAGATGACTCAATAGGAGGGAGTTTTTTTTACTAGAGGAGAGGGATTGTTGAGGATAGACAATAAATTTATGTTTTGCCATTTTTATTGTATTACTTATTTTCTATAGCAGATTGGATGATTTTATTTATTTTATTTAGAGAATGTTGTGAATTATTGACTCTTTTATATTTGAATGTTATTGTGGACTAATATTATTATTTAGAAATATTTATTATTTCACCGTCTTATTATTCCTTTCCGTCTTGGTTAACTTAAAATACTCTAGCTGGTTCGTGACATGTATTTTGCATGTAAAAACTTCTTTTTATAGCCTTTTAGACAAAGGATGGGGAGCAAAGCCCAGCAATCTCATAGTCCAAAGGTGGAGCTTAATTCAGTGTTCAGTTTGAAAAGAAAAGCAAGTACTTTATCCGATTTAGAGCGGAAGTTCTTTCTTAAGTTTGAGAATTCAAATTATTTGCTATCTAATATCATTGTGAATTAGAGGAAATTGACTTGGCAACCTGTCGGCATTTACAAATTGAGGCATGGGGCTTATGTAGAGGGATTCATCAGGAGTTGATTAAAATTTAGGAAGATTTACATGCATATCATTTAATCCCTGTGTTTACATATCTAACACCTAAACTTCTATGCGTGAAAAGGTGTATTCTACTTTTTTTAAAGTTAAAATGATAGTATTTCTTATGTGGTATGAATGGTTTGGGTGATATAAATGTAAAGAAGTGAAATTTAGGCGTTAATGTATAAATACATAGGAATTGGGTGGTGCATATGTAAATGCCTCTAAAATTTATTACTTCATTGCATTCTAAGATACCCTTCCTTTGTTGTACTACTCGTGGTAGGAATTATTCCTTGGGAATAAGGATATGGGTTGTTTGATTTCATATGTTCCTATTAACGCAATAACTGAATAGCTGAATATTATTAACTATTAATTTCATTTGCTTGTCGTCCTAGATCTTCTTGCACTTAATAATGTTTTGCAGTTTTACTTGATCGGTTAGCCTACAACAGTTAAAATGAAGAGAATATTTTTTTTTTCATTGTTCCTACTAACAAAAAGAAAAGAGAACTTTACTTGCATACCACACCATTTTTATGTATTTCCATATCTAACACCCAAAGTTTAATGTTTACATTTATTACACTTTGGTATTATGAACCTATGCATGAAAACATCTATTTCACTTCTATAAATTTAGTAAGAGGGTTACGTCTGATGTGATTTTAAAGAGTCAAGTGTTATGCTTGTAAATGGGAAAGTTTACATGTCAAATATGTAAACACATAAAAATTGTGTGGTATGTAAATTGCCCCAAAAGAAAATTGTTTACATCATGCGACCTCTTTTCTGTATCCAATCCTTCTTTCTTTCTATAATTGCAGCAAGCTCTGAAATCGTACGCATTAGTTTTTGATGCCATATACAACCCAACGTTGACCAGACTTCTCCGCGAAGCGGAAGAGCTCGGCGTGACCATTGTTACTGGAGTTGAAATGTTTGTGCGTCAAGCTATGGGTCAGTTTGAAATTTTCACTGGTTTGCCAGGTAAAGTTTTAGCTGGTGGCTTTGCGAAAATTGGCATGGGTTTCTTTCAATAAAATGCCTGCTATAATTCTTTTTTTTTTTCTTTTTCTTATCAGCTCCTGAGAAGCTAATGCGGGAGACTTTGCTGAACTTCCATTAGAATGGTATGTATTTTTCTTTGAAAAACTAGATTGTTACTCTTAATTTACATCAACCTTTTGTGTTTGGTGAAGTAGTTCATTTTTCGTGGCAAATCTAAATGAAATCAATTTAATTGCGTGTATTTTAGGTTTACATGAGAACTACAACCAAGGTGACACATGTCTGCATTTTTATTATGGGAAATTTACATAAATGCTATGCCACACAATTCTTCTGCATTTACATATCTAAAATATGATCATCAATTTATTATACTTCTAATTACGGGAAAAGATCGCTCTTATAAAGTTAGTGATATTGATATTTTTAATGTGATGTCACAGATTTGAATGTTTTTTTTGTAAATGTGAAAGTTTAGGTGCTAGATATGTAAATATTAAGAATTGTATGGTATATATGTAAATGCCTCTTTTATTATTTATGGGCTACTTTTTAGTGTGTTTTGAAGTTTTGATTTAGATAACTATTGTATATCATTTTATTTAGGGGTTTTTGGGATTTTTTTTCCTTTTGTTTATAAAAATCATATTTATTTGATATTTTTTTTCATATTTTAATTTATATTTTTAAAATTAAATGAGCTTATTTTTAAAAATACTCAAAATAATCTGAAGCTGTTATGGGTATTTTTTTTAAAACAATTATCACCAAATATATTTTATTTCAAATAAAAATTTTTAAAAAAATAAATAAAAATAAAAGGGGCTTTTACATTATACCACCCAATCTTATGTATTTACATATATAACACCTAATTTTTCATATTTACATGCATAACACTTAAAATCTTTAATATTACATTAAAAAAAAACACTTCTATCAACTATTTAAAAGTGAAAACTCCTTTCATGGATAGGTTTACAACACCAAAGAATTATAATTATGAACATTAAACTTTAAGTGTTAGATATGTAAATACATAGGAATTGTGTGGCATATGTATAAATATCCAAATAAAAAAAAAATCCCAAATATCATGTTATGAGAAATCTTAAACATTTTCCCAGCTATTACTATCTTAAACATTTTCAACTTCTGAATTCATATTCCAACTGCAACTTCTTTTACCTCACATTTTCACCTACTGATTTGTTATTGTTGAAGGTCTGATGTGGATTGATGATTTCAATAAGCTGCTTCAATGAGGCTGCAATATACTTATTTTTTCATGGAAACACTCTTTGGAGCACCAGGTTTTGAGCAATTTCTTTCACTTTACATTCAGTGGAAATTTATTAGAACTTTTGTATTTAACCCTGCCATGTCCTCAATATTTCATTTTTCAACCCTTCAATGTTATTTTTGTAAGAAAATAAATGAACTTACAACATTTGCATGCGATTTAGTTCTTCGAGAGGGCGAAAGGGTAGCGCTTGTGACATTTTTCTCTATAATTGAAATATAAATGTTCAAAAATAGTTGATGTAGATCTCTCTGCATTAACATTTTGTAAATCTATACCTTTTTTTATTTTGATTGTTATGCTTAATTTGATTTTTCTAATGTTTAGTGGAGGTCTGATTATGTGCCTTTGATGTTCTAAGTTAGAAGATTGATGATATGAAGCTATAAACAAAAGGAAAATGTACATACATAGTGCCTTATTGCCTATGCATGTAAATATCTGACACCTAAACTTCAGTTTTGACGTACATGCCTCCTTTACCTATGCAGGAACAGATTTATTTCACTTTTAAAAATTAGAAGTGATCTTTTTTATATGATATGAAAGATTTGAGTGGTATATATGTAAAAAGAGTAAAGTTTAGGTGTTAGATTTGTAAATACATAGGAATTTGGTGGTATGTGTGTAAATGGTCCAAAACTGGTAAATCCTTGAGGCGAGGTTCTGGGGGAAGTTTATGGTTTTTGTTGCACCGTGCTTGGGAGGAAATCTGAGGGTGAAACTTGTGATGATTATTAAAATAAAGGGGGGTGTATATGCATATCACAAAATTCTTATTTATATATAAATCTACTTGTTGAATTTTAAACTGCCTTTTTGAAATACACCGAGAGTAGAGCTGAGCGGAGAGAAAAGAGAGAGTTAAAAGTTTCTTTATTCATGTTTTGACCTATTTATAATAATTGCAGTTATAAAAGAGAGGGAAAAGTTATAGTAACTGCCTAAATAAATGAATCGACTTGTTTGTTGAGTAAAGAATACATTCATAATATAAGTAAAATAAAATGCTTGTAGACGTTCGATGCTTTGGGTCGATCAATAATGTCGGTTGATCGCTTGCAAAATCATTCTTGTTGAGAGAATCGATCGATCATAAATATTCGTTAGATTTTGGCGAGAGGTCAGTTGATCGATAGATCTATCTACTAGGTCAGCCGGCTAGGTTAGTTGGTCGATAATGCATCGGTCGATCCTGTTGTACTGTCGGCCGACTATTAAGTTAATCTGTATCATGCTTTTTGGTTTAGAGGCTCCATCTTAGCCGCTTGATTTTTGATTCGCGTTAATATTTTTATCATATAAATATTAGTTTCCCTATTTTTCTGTTCTTTGATAGCGACAATTACGATAAGAATAAAAAAAATATTAGATAATAAATGACATAATAAACGAAGAAACTAATTTAATAATTAATTCTCCCTTGTGTTATGTGCCCAATGTTGCTATAAGTAGGGCATGTAGGCTTGCGTTTTTCATATTTCATTCAACTTCTTCTGGTCTTTCGAGCAACATCAGGGCTTCAATTTTTGGCTTTGGAAAGCTTTTGTCTTCCTGCACCTGTCGTACCTGAAAAGAAATGAAAAAAAGTTATAAAGAAATAGAAGCAGTCAACATCTGAAACTGAGTTGATTAACCAAGTTGTTGCCGACAAAGAAATTCCTAAAAATTGACCCTCTCCAAAAAGTTTTGACCCTGGTCCAAACGTGGGTTTGATTGTGGAGGAAAGCTAGCCGGTCATCTCATTCATCGAAAGAACTGAGGGTAGCCAAGGGAGGTTGAAAGAAAAGTCAGTCATCGATTCTCTTCCGCCCCCTCTACTGAATAAGGATGGAGGTCCTCTGGCTCAAGGAACAGACGAATTTTTCATTGCCCTTTGAATTAAATAATATATTTACATATATGAACTTTTCCCTTCTTTGGCAGTCTTTAATAATTCCTTGACGTTACTTCTAATGCAATGAGTCAGTTGCATCGGAGAATCGTATCAATTGTGGGTCATCGAAGAAAGTCATTATTAATTCTGCCTTAACGCCTGCGACCAAACTGTAAAATCCGGTCACTCCACCTTTTTAGTCGATTAACCAAGGTGTGTACCGTTCGATTGACCCTTTTAGCAGTTCCCAATAGGAGCATTTGGAGAGTCGGCAACATTACTCTTGTTCATTGGACCATGGAGTAAGGGAGATGGCTAGTCCTTCAACAAAGGCAATCGAAGAGAATGTTGGTGTGCCTATGCAAGAGTTGTTGGCTTGTTGTGCAAGGTTGGAGGAAGAGATTGCTGCACTTCAAGGCAGGTCCATCGACATTGCGAGGTTGGAGGTAGAGATTGTTGCACTTTAAAGCGCGTTGAGCGATGTATGACCTATTCATGAGTTTACCTTTTTGAGTAAATTCCATTAAGACGTCGAACAAATGGGGCAAATTAGGTTGGGCGGAGAGTTGGTCTTCCAGAGGATGCTTCAGCAGGGGTATGCCTCGACCGAAGTGTCAAAAGACATTTTTATTAAGCTTTTCTTCGAAAAATGTAATAGTTTCATTTGTAATAAAATAATGTTTTAATTGATGTGAAATGATATTTGGTGTGACACATATCTCTTCGACGCACTTTAACTTCCACACACACCCCATAAATAAGGCATGCGACTACTTTTTACTTTTTATGCTCTCGTGCCTTCTTTCATTTCTTTCCTTTCTGTCGTCTGATTTCCTTTCGCACTTTTTTTTGTTTGTGATCGCTCGATGGGTTTGAAGTATTCTCCTGCTCTTTTTGGAACGTACCCCACCATCGATGCATCTATTCTGACAGTGGCTGACATAAAGAAATGTAGAAGTACGTCTTCGATAAGAACATAGTTCTGCAACAATCTCGAAAGTCAGATTGATTGACAAGCAACTTCGACCCGGACTTGGTTTTCTACACAGACCAATTTAGTTATAGGCTTCAACTGCCTCTTTGCTCCAAGTTGTTGAGCATCTTTAATAAGTATGGGTTCATTCCAACATAGGTCCTCCCCTTTTTGATCACTGCCATCATGACCTTCGTGGCCTTTTATTGTTGAGAGGCAATTGCTTGGTCCACTAACCTGTTCAACAATTTCTACTGTTTCAAGGTTCACAAGAATGACTTTGTCATGTTCTCTGCAGAGAAGAAGTTCCAACTACTTGGAGTTGAGAACAAAGTGAAGGACTGCAAGAAACAATTTGTGATTGGCTCCTGCGCTGGCGGCTGTGGGATTCACATCAAGCCGACATATATTTCAACGGATAAATAAGTCCTTGCAGCAAGAATTGCACTCCGTCAAAGTGATGCTTACATGGAACATGTTATCGGTCCCCCAGTACACTACAGAGAGATCTGTTAATCGGGTATTGAAGGGACATATGATCTGAGACCTGTGGCTCGCTTCCGATGCTGTGGAAGCCACTCGAGCAAAGGCAGTTTTAGAAAATTTGGCTACAAAGCAATAGAAGCTGAATTTTCACCTGTCAAAAGGTTGTCTTATAGAGGGGTTGCATTGTGTCAGCAGACCTCAGTGGTGTTAAGTTTGTTACTTCTTGGTTGAAAACCTCGGTCGTATCTATAACACCGTAACTGGTGAGATCACTATTATTGCTTGATCTCATTTGGTTGATGCAGGGAAAGGTGAAGGCAAGAAAACTGCCTCCGGTGAATAAGCTTTTGAAGGCGTCGGGGCAGCAAGCGCCTCTGTCTAGGACTGACTAGCCGATCAACTCCCCTCAAGAAAATCTGCAAGCACTTGTCGCCTTTTCTTTGGATTCATGGGTCGTTGATCTGTCTTTCATAGCTCTGGCGGAGAGGACCAGAGCGAGCCACTCTGACCAAGTTTCTTTGTCCGACTCAACTCTCAAAGAGGTTGAACCATCTTTTGGGTTTGATTCTTCGCCATCTCCCGGGAAAGAAGCAGTCCATCGGCAAGGAAAGGAGCCGATAGAAGACTTGGACATCCCTCGACACACCCACCCCCCTCCCTCCCGTCGCTAAAAAGAAAAAGGGAATCCTTCAAGTGGCTTCCAATGAAGAAGATGGGCAAGAAAGGTTATGGGTCGACATTGATCAATGATTCAACTTAGCTGACAATTAGAGGAACTTGTTTCCAAATTGTACAAAGATCGAGGGAATCCCACCAGTCTTGGTGGAACTATTGTGATCAAACAATTTTGATCAAGTGTTGAAGAGGCTCAACTGCCAGAAATTCTACAACAATCAACTTGTTTTCATCTGAAGATAGCACAAGTTGCTCTTCTTTAGGGTTTGGCTTTGGATATTGTAAAGGACTTTTTGACCGAAGCCCAAAATTAATTTGCTTCACTGGAAGCCGAGCTTAATAGGGCTCAAGATGATCGAGATCTCCTCAAGGTTAAGCTTGATAATTTTTCCATTGGCATAAGTCTCTCGAAATATTGGATGTTTTGGTGAAAGATAATGACGAGCTAAAATCAAAGTTTGCCTCAACCATTTCAAATGAAGAACATATGGTTGAACCTGCAAAGCAGTTCTAACTAGGCATGGGTTATGCGACTGAGAGGTTTATTCACCACAACCTGGTCGATGCCAAGTTCTCCCATTCTAATGAGTTCACAACTCTTTTTCTTGAAAAAGCCAAAGACTGTTCGAAAGAGGAAGAAACCGAAGAAAGCTCTAGTGGCGAGGATCGATCAACAACTCAATGAATCTTGAAAACTTTTTGTAATTTTGTTTTCATGTAATTAATTGATCCCCCCAGCGATTATCACAATTATGTATGTCCTTGTAATGACACCAAAAATCTTGATCAGTTTACTAGCAACTTAATTGAATTCTTAAAATTAAATTTTCTTTCACACTGGTGTTTCTCACGCAAATATACGTATTGTTTCAATAATATAGGGCTTTATTGAGTCCAGTTGTCGATCCTATAGAGAACGAGGTAATGCTCCTTTAAGAAATGTTATAGTCTAATACTTATAGGTCTTAGTTTGGAATGTGAATTAATGTGGTTTTCTAATAACTAATCCTAAAGTACAACACTAAGTCTAAAGCTAAACCTAACTAGATCATTTGGTTTTGGTGAATATCAAGATGTAAAGGCTACCTTTCTCTTGTGATTGCATAAGTGGATTGTAGGATTGAATACTACGAATTGCTGTTGTGGTCAGTGACCAATAGGAGCATATATCTTGTTTGCCCTCTTCCAAGCGTGTAAAGAAGTTTGATTTAACTTAGTAAATGTTCTTGC